GACTACTATCTGGAGTGAGAGAGAACTTAGTGTTCTTGGCTCAGCCTGCCCAAAATGGAGCTTTCATCATGCTGAGCAGTGTGGAAGGAGGTGGGTGTGTGGAAGGAGGTGGAAGCTGGTAATGGTTCAAATGACACAGAACTCTTGCTTTTACTCTGACTTGAATAAATATTTTTTCACTTTCTATATGCCTTTAGGATTTTCCTAAGATTTTAACTTTTTTATTTAATTTTTTCTAGGTGTAATTGATATATAGTATTTTATTAGTCTCTGTTGTACAACAAAATAATATTTGTATGTATTTGCAAAATGATCACAATAAATATACTTAACAAAAAAATTTGTTTCCCATACATTGTTATGAAGTCTTTTTCCTTGTGATGAGATCTACTCATTTACTACTCTACTACTATGTGTCTACGCATCTCATTTTAAGATCTACTCTCTTAGCAACTTTCAAATATACAATATAGTATTATTAACTATAGTTACCATGCTATACATTATATCCCATGAATTTTATTTTATGACTGGAAGTTTATACCTCTTGACTTCCTTTGCCCATTTCCCCCATCCCCATCACCCAATTGGCAATTACCAATCTGTTCTCTGTTTCTATGAGTTTATTTTATTTTTAGATTTTACATATAAGTGAGATCATATGGTATTTGCCTTTCTCTGTCTGACTTACTTCACTTAGCATAGTGCCCTCAAGGTCTATCGTGTTGTCAGAAAAGGCATGATTTCATTCTTTTTTATGGCTGTGTAGTATTCCATTGTATATATGCACTACATTTTCCTTACATATCCATCCATTGATGACAGCTTATTTCCATTATCTTGGCTATTATAAATGTTTCAGTGAACATAGGGGTGCATGTACCTTTCTGAATTAATTTTTTGTTTCAATATCTAATAGAGATTTAGAAAACAATTTTAATTTTGGAAAAACATCTTTCACCAGTTACTATTGTTTCCCTTGGGACCTCCAGGGAACTCCTCACACTACCATTCTAGAAGTCAGCTCTAAAAGCAATTAATATTTGTCGAGGAATTATGCTTCCAAGCACTGAGAAGATCTTTCCATGTACTATATCTTTTAATATTTAAAATAATTTTAAGAAGTAGCTTGTAATACTGTCCCTACTGTATAGAGGAGGAGGCTAAGCCCACAGAAATTAAGTCATTTGTCTGAGCTCCTTTAGGCTCCAGACTTCTAACTTGAACCCAGACTGATCCATTCCAATACTCATGCTTTTGGCCACATCATCACTGCTGCCTCCCATGCTTTACTACTCTGCATGAAAAATTAACTATAAGAGTGAGGAAAAAAGACATAACTAATGGATATGTTCAGTTCCAGGGTTTTTCCATGAATGGGTTGCTCACATTAGATGTCTAGAACTTGCCTGTCTAGGAAGAACTTAACTGAGTGGCTGCTGGGGAAGCCAAGCCAGCTGCTAGGAAATTGTGCCCTTGTTTAGAGAATCAGGTCGCTTTTTATTCCTGCCAGTAGTCTTTGGGATTTCTATACTCTGATTTGATTCTGCATTCAATATATAATTGCAATACAAAATTGAAAATGCTGTTTACAATGTAATTCTAAAGTAGTTTATACTCTTGCATAATTGAAATGGCTTGCTTGAAACAGCTCACTGCACCCAAATATGCCTACTTAGCTAAGCAGGAAGACTTCCAAGTTAATTCTTTAGAAATGTTACAGCAACTAGGTGAGGTATATCCTGTTGTTGGCCGAGTTTTTCTAAACCAGTGCAAGACACACTTTGGGGAAGTAAATGATATGAACATTCTGTAGTCTTCTTTAGTTTTTTTCCTCTTCAAGATTAATATCTATAAAATTTCAGCCTCTAAACTTCAACCAATAGATACCTCTTGGTCACATAAGATTTACAGAACACCTCGACAAATATTAATTGCTTCTAGAATTATCTGGGAAAAATGCCAAAGAGGTGTAAAACATACTCCCTGCCCTCCAGATCACTAATGCATGTTATTAGTAACATATTTGACATATTTGAAAGAAGCAGAAAAAAAATTCAAATTGCAGTTCTAATAGTTACTAGTGATAGGACTTTCAACAACTTATTTAACCTTTCTGAGTCTCAGTTTCTTCATCAATAAAATGAACCTCACTTATATTTATTTTGAAAATCTTTATGAAGCTTAAATGAGATAATTCATGTAAATGCTAGCACAATTAGCAGACACACAGTAGAGGTTATACATGTCAGTGATGGTGATGATGGTGAGTATATATATAAATAAATATAACATATATTCAATGACAAAGTCAAAAGATAATTAAGGTTTTGAGTTTTTGAATACACTTGTCCATAAAAATATTAATGACATAACTAAATATTTTTAATTTGCCAAATAACTAGCAATATTCAAGAGTGAAAATCTGATGGTTACAAAAAGCATCCAACTTTAATTTATCAAGTTAACTAAGAGTTAATCTGAGAGTCTGAGGAATGACTGTGGAAAAGGATGGAATAGGTCTCTTGATATTCTTTAAGATGGAAATCATAAGAAGAGATTTAAAATGGCACTAGGGCACAGGTTTGGTTTCAGAGAGCCTTGGACTTAAATTCAGACTAATAATTTCTAGCTGTATGACTTAGGCAAATGATGCAACCTCTTTCACCCACAGTCTCCTCATTACGAAAAAAAGTATAATGCATATAAAATGCTTAACAGAAAACAGAAGAGAGTAATTGCTCAAAAAAATGAAAACTATTGTCCTTTCAGCTATTTTTAAAATTACTAGTTGGATTGAAATTTGGTTTACATTTCTGACTGTGAAGCATCATTCAAAACAAATTCCCATGTTTAATATCTTCAGGAGCGTAGGTCAGTGATAGATGAGTACAGAAAAGTAGATTAGCTGCTAAAGAGGATGCCCTCACAAAATATCTGACACTCCCAGATTCCTGAGCCACATAAACTGTGAGAGAATTTTGTTGTGTTAAGCCACTAAATTGGAGGTAATTTGCTATGCAGCAATAGAAAATTCATACAAAGCTCAAGACAAAGAAGTGCAGATGTGCTATCTCGAACTTTATGTTTAAAGACTTGAATAGGTGCAAACATACCATAGCTCAGGATTTGTATGCACATTGTACATTTTTAATTAGAATACGATGAATCTCTTATACAGCTAATAAACCAAGGCCTCAAAAATGTGCTACATATGAATAAGGCTTGACTTCTGCCCTTCAAGGACCTAATAAGTTAGTGAATAAGATAAACATGTTGACAAATTAAAAAATTTACAGAGTGAACTATAAAGGTGGGACAAAAAGATAGTAAGTGTACACTAAGGATGGAGAGTGCCATTTTCCCAGCTCTCAGGTGAGACACTGGCTCCACAGTGTAGAAAAGAAACTTTAAAATCCAACTCCAGAGACATTGCAACTATTAGATGCTCTTCTTCTGGGCTTTATCTTGATTTCAATAGAAATTACTTGCCCTACATTTCAATTTGTGAACAACAAAAAAACATCTTTATTCCAATGTTTTGGATTTTATTCAGTAAATTTATTACCAGTCTGAAATATCAAGAGTAATAGATTGCCTCACCATCCCTTTTGGCTTACATTAAGAGCCAAAATGCAACATAATCTGATGTCATAGTAAAAAATTAGGTAAATAATACTGAAAAAGCACTGCTCATAGAAAAATAATGCAAACAGGCATATGCTGAGGATGCTGCTCCAGTTTCTGAAATTCCTTTTTTATTCTCATTTTCAGTCGAATCTAATTTTGATGCCCCTGAATGATAGGCATTCTCAGAAGAAGGGTTGAAGATGGCAATAAAAAGCCTACACTGAATTAATGGATGCAATTCATGCCTAAACCTTCCCCCCCTGCACCACCATTAATTTCCACATCCCAGAGTTGCAGTGATTTGTGGTTACTACTCCACAATTTAGTGCTGTCTCCCTGTGCCTTCACACAGTGCTTGCTCCTCCTAACCTCACTTAACCAGGTGAGCACAGTAAGAAGGATAACAGTCCTATGTGAATGTGTGCATTTAATAAGAATAAGGTGCCGACCTTATTAGGGTTTTCACTTTACATAAAGAATTGAAATTTTCATGCTAGGAAAGAACAAGCAACAATTCATATGAAACTCATTTCTTAACAGGTTATGATTTGGAAGAGACAACAATCAAATTTTTAAAAATTATTTCTGAAGAAAAGGTCAATAAGTCAGTTCATTCATTCATTCATTCATTCATTCATAGTAAGAAGGATAACAGTCCTATGTGAATGTGTGCATTTAATAAGAATAAGGTGCCGACCTTATTAGGGTTTTCACTTTACATAAAGAATTGAAATTTTCATGCTAGGAAAGAACAAGCAACAATTCATATGAAACTCATTTCTTAACAGGTTATGATTTGGAAGAGACAACAATCAAATTTTTAAAAATTATTTCTGAAGAAAAGGTCAATAAGTCAGTTCATTCATTCATTCATTCATTCATTCATTCATTCATATTTCCGATAATTTATACATAACATCTACTGAAGACCAACTCTGCTGCATCTTGAAAATATAAATATGGCAAAGATATGTTTCCTGTCTTAAAAAGCTCTCAATTAAGAGGAGGAAATTATGTGCCCACATCACCAATGTTCAAAGTGACAGGAACTGTAAGGAATTCGAGGGCCCAGGAGACATATACCTGATTTCAACTGGCAATGGAAGGGAGGGTTGTTTTGTGTAGAAAGTGCTCCATAGGAGCTTTTTATGCACGCTTACCATGACATATAAGGTCATTAGAATGGGTTTCAGGGAAATTGAGGACACAGCTATTTCATAGCCATGGAAGCTTAATGCATCTTCTGTGTGAAATAGTGACTAGAAAGGACTGGCAGATGACTAACTTCCAGGACTGATTGTCGAACAAGCAAGAGAAATGTGCTGTTCTTAAATTACCTACGCAGCATTTAGAATGGGCAAGAAACTCACCCCAGCTTTATCTTGGACACTCGCTGTCTTCTCCAGATGGTGTTACTTGACTCAACCCTGGGGAAATTGGAAATGAGTTACTGTAATAGGAAACAGTTTGAGTTGGGTCAATGAAATAAAATATTAAGAATAGGAAATATTTGAGAATTAAGTCTACTGACACACCAGAGGATAAATGGGGAAAAGGGGGCTAGTTCATGGAAATTATGGGGCACTCAAGACACTCCAAGTAAATATATAATCTAAGCAAAAAATAGTGCTCTAAGCAAATACAGCTTTAAATGTAAATTCCCCCTTTAATCATAAGTCCTTTATATATTAAAAAACTTAAAGAGCAACAATTTCCCACTCCTCAGTATGTAGTATTTTAAACACAGAAGAAACTAGGGTCATGTCGGTCTAAGGAGACCTAGGGGTCCTTTTGTAGGCCCAGAGAGATTGGAATGCTTAAAGCAACCTCCACCCAACCCCAGATCATCACCACTGATATACAACCAAATTTGCCCTACTACTAAGGTAGATATAGGTAAAAAGGAATAATAAAATTAACTTAATGGTAACCATTAGTGATACATAGTTCAAGAAAAAAGACATTAAAACATGAATTCTAAGAAAACTCTTTGGTTGTCAGATAAGACTCAATGAAACCAGACTGTCCACAGGCTAGTTTAAACAAGATGTCTTAGGTTAGCTTTCCTAGAATAGACCTGAAATGGGCATTCTGTTGCAAATGATTCTCCTGCAAGAGAGTGCTTTTGGGAGGAAACTTTATAAAAGCCAAGGTGAGAGAAGATAAGCAAAATGGGGTTGAATTGAGCCTCAGTTGGTCCAAAGGTAAATGTTTAATACAACTTAATTTAGTCTATGTTTCTGATACAACTAGAATTCTGACCTTTTCACTACATATTTTTTAGTAAGAGTACCAGTATATATCTATATTTTATTGTTAAATACTTCAAATCCTCTGATGAAGGCAGGATATAAATACTGAAAATATTGTAGATATTTATTCTCCATATACATTTATACTTATATGTTACATAGTTTTGTATAAACTTTTATATAGGTGATATATAGTATATTTGAATATTTAATATTTATATATTTTCTTCTTATAGTTTATATAAAACACATATGTATTTATATATATAATTACATGCAGTTATGTATGTACTTACATATGTAAATTTTAAACTACATATATATATTGCCTAAAATAATCATATTAATAAAATTTTATTTAACTATAAAAGAATGTTTAAAGCCTCATCCCAAGACTGTTTTTGCAGGAATTAGAAGTTTCACATAAATTTTCACTTAAACCTCAAAAAAATTAATGTACCCTTATTTTATTAATCTGCAAAGCAAAGCTAACTGATACAAGATTTTTCACCTGGTAAATAGACACACTGATGGGTAGATGGATGGAGTGATTGATTGATGACTTATTTAATAATTAACTTAAGAAATAGTGTCCATTGCCAGACTCAGAGAATTAAAAATGAGCAAGTCTTTGCCTTGTCTTCGAGGAACTCCCATTATAGTGGGAAAGGTAGACATAGAAAGGGATAAAGTGTAATTAACTGTGCTAAATGCAAAATGGACAATGTGCAATGAAAGCACAGAGGAGGGAATATTAATAGCTACCAATTAGTTCCCTATTAGATGCAATAATAATAGCTATAAGTTGATGTACTTTTACCATGATAAGGGCTAAATGCTTTACTTGAATTAATCTCATATGATCTGTACAATAATCTTGTGGAATTAAATACTGAAAGCAAATAAATTTAGCAAGGTTAAGTAATTTGCTTAAAGTCAAAATGCTTGTATTTGTTGGAATCAGCATTCATTATAAAAATAACACTGTTTCCTGCAATTATGGAAGTCTCCCTGGAGAGGAGACATTTGATCCAGGTTTTGCAATATAAATAGCAACTGTCCTAAATATGAAATTGGATTCAAATGAAGACTGGATAAAATACACTGCTAGCTTTTAATGTAGAACTAGCTGAAGGTTAACCAGTCTGGTGTTAACCATTGATACATTTAGCTTTTCACTCATCTTTAAAAAAAAATTTTAAGTATAATTCACATACAATATTCTATTAGTTTCAGGTGTACAACACAGTGATTTGACATTTGTGTACATTGCAAACTGAACAGCACAGTAAGTCTAGTTACCATCTGTCCCCACACAATGTTAAAACAATACTATTGACTCTGTTCCCCATGCTATATAGTACATCCCCAAGACCTACTTTTTTTATAACTGGGAATTTGTACTTCTTGATCTCCTTCACCCATTTTGCTCCCCACAACTCCCTTCCCTTCTGACAACTGCCAGTATACTCTCTGTATTTATGAGTCTGGGTTTTGTTTTGCTTTGTAGAGTCCACTTATAAGTGACATCATGTGGTATTAGTCTTTGTATGACTTACTTCACTCATCATTAATACCCTCAAGGTCCATCCCTGTTGTCACCAATGGCAGTCCCCGCTGGCACCCCCCGCCAGGCGCTCAAGGGGAGTCCTCTGTAGAGGCTGCGCGCACACGCTGGCGGTGGTGTGACCGCCTGCGACGCGGGGGCGGCGGGGCGGGGCGGGGCGGGGCGGGCCGGCCGCCGGGCTGTGGGGCTGCTGCGCGGCGGGCGCGGGCGGCGGGGGCCGTGGCGAGGCTGCTGCGGGGCGTGGGCGTGGGCGGGGCTGCGAGGCGCGCGCCCCGTGGCGCCAGCAGTGTAAAGGGACGTTGCCAAAATGGCATCTTCCAGCGCCGGCACCTGGCTTAGTAAGTAGGAGGAGATTGCAGAAGTGGCACCCGCCAGCGCTTCTGTCCCTGGAGAGAGTCCCAACAGCTTCTTGCCTGTGTGGCAGTCACTTTAAGATTAGTAGTAGGTAGGTCTCCTTCTCAAATGTTCTACGCGCTTTTCAAACTGCGGCTTTTGCGCCGGGCCTGGGGCCGCTGAGCGTGCCCGGGAGCCCTTTAACGGAGCGCTCTCCCTTTCCCTGAAGCTGTAGGGTTCTCCTGGACGCGCTCCCCGTGGGTTTTCAAAGCCAAATGCTTGGGGGCTCGTCTCCCTACTGCAGGACCCAAGGACAAACCCCTCGCTCCTTGGGGAAAAGCTCCGTCCTATTGCAATCCGCCCGTGATGGGTGGATGCACCTCGGATGGAGCTTTGGTGAGAGCGTTTCTGCCTCTCCTGCCTGTCTTAATGCAGCCCTTTTATCCTTTGTTGTGGAGGTGCTCTTCATCTAGTGTTCAGGATTTTTCCGAGGAAATTATTCCATATGTAGTGCACTCTTGTCACAACACCCGATTTTTGTTTTCGACCTTGACTTTTTATTATTTATTAAGACTTCTTTGGGGCTAACCATTAGACTCGAATGTACGATAAATTTTGGAAATGTTCTGTGTGTACTTGAAAAATATTCGTATAAATGATAATGTCCACGAGGGCAGGGATTTTGGTTTGTTTTGTTCCCGGAAATAACAGTGTCTCACATAGAGAAAACCCTTAAAATATGTGTAAGTCTAATAAATTCTCCACCTTCTATAAATATAAATTCACCATGTTGTATTTAAAGAGTCCATCATTTTTTCCCTTCCTGCCCAGAAAATATAAACACCCACAGTATTACTTCAGATCTTCCATTTTTCATTTTACGGTTGCCTCATATTTTAACTCAATTCTGTTTTCCCCTGTATTTTTTATTTTTATTTATATGTATATTTAATTTTCACTCCTATATTGAAGCCCAAGGCTCCAATTTTTATTTCATGCCTATTTTTTTCTCATCACCAAATTGTACACAAATGCATACCAGTGTATAACTGCAGGGTGAGATTTATTTTGTTTTTACTATATAGTTAGGAGATTTATTTCATGAATATATATTAATAAATCCAGTTTATGAGATGAATTTTATGGACTTTTATTTTTACCATTTTAAATCAATTTTTATTATTCTTAAAGTAATACATGCAGATGGTTTATAAAGTTAAATAATACACAAAAGCTTATAACAAATATAGTTGTTCCCATGACTCCCCTACTGCTGCCTTTAGACAATTATTTCTTTGGACTACCTCTTATTTACTTTGAAACATGCATGTACACACACACACACACACACATATTCATCTCTTGAATTATCAGATGTATTGATTGGCACAGAATTATACATAAAGGTATAGATGTTTTACCTTTTTTATACCTTTCACTTCTCTTCCTCATCAATCAATATAATTGTACCATAACTCTTAATGAAGTCAACATTTAGTATTTTAATTATTATAACCATTTTTCCTGATGAACCAATTTTCCTTTCTTGAACATCTTTTGATTATTTCTTAGTATTTTTAGTTTTCTTATGCCTCTTGCCAAGTATCTTTATACCATCTAATAATTCTATTTAAAAAGAACCTTTCAAACCTTTCAACACAATATTTCACCAGGGTCCTAGCTGTCAGATAAGATAGTCATTCACCCAGGAATAAATTCCTCAACTACTTCATTTTCCTACTGGTAAGATGACTTTTTCTATCCTCATAGGTAGAAAGAATACAAAACATTTTTCTCATAACACAAATCTCCATCTTCTTTTCTTCTCAATCATCTCAGGTTGTTGTTGCTGATGAGGGGGTACTAGAAAAATCTGGATTACTCTAGTAGAGAGTAAATTCCAAAAGATTTTAAAATTGACTAACATAGAAATAAAGTCTGAGGTAAATGGGTGTAGAAATGTGTATATACCTTTATCATTGATAAGACTGAAACAGGAGATTGTGGCTTAGTGGGTGTATGGGTGTGGCAACCACTGGCTTCCTAATACTAAATCTAATGATTTAAACATTTTTACATGCCCACTCACAGTCTGTGCTGGCAAAATAATGCACCCACACTCACCTCTACTCTGAAACTCAGGACATGAGGAACCAGACCAAAAGACATGAGTCCTGGTGGAATCTGGCTCCCAAAAGAAGAGGAAAGAGGAAGTGGCGATGCCATGCATGTCAGATATGACTCCAGCATACATATTTGACTTCACTTACTTACCCAAAAGATGAGTAAATGAGGAGGCAGAGAAAGCCCAAGTATTGCATTAAATGTTGTCCTCCATATATGAAAGCCCAAATGTTATATGCAATGTTGTTCTTTCCCTAGGGCTATCGCAACAAATGATCGCAAACATGATGGCTTAAGACAACAGACACGTATTCTGTCACTGTTCTGGAGGCCAGAAGTCTAAAATCAAGGTATCCGTAGGGCTGCACTCCCTCTGGAGGCTCTGTTGGGAGAAAATTCTACTCCCTTGGTAAACAGGTGTGAGATTTTCAAAATGTATTAACAAAGATGGTCCTCTTTCTGTAACAGGTTCTTGTACCCCTGTTAGTATATTTTGATAAACCTGCTTGCATGTAGAAGCAGAACCTCCAGGGTCTGAATGTGGACCTGTTGGTGCCTAGACTTTAAAGAAGCCAGAAAGCTCACTGATTGAGACTGACAGAGGAGGGATTTCTCTTCAATCAGATGGGAAGGCAGAGTTTGGATCTGCAGGAAGCAGAAGTGGGAGGAGAAAAGATTTCATAGAGGTGGTGATGGAGTTGGGTGCTAAAAAGAGACTTCAAGGGAGACAGAAATGACCAAGGAGATTTTGAAGCTCTTTGCTGTGATGTATGTGTTGTGAATCTCCTATGTCATATCCCTCAAGGAATCTCAGTGGTCTCCATTGACATAAAGGTATTATAGGAGAGAGGATTCTTCTGCAAAAAGCAATGAAGCGGTAAGCTATGATTCCAGACTGGCACAGGGCAAAATCAGAGACTATGCATTTAGAAGTAGGATCCAGAAGGCAGAGTAACATTGATTCCAGAGGATCCAAAGCAGCAAAGTTTAAACAAAAATAATGAATATAAGATCATGGAGATAGCCTTGACAGAAAAGGTCAAAATAGAAGTTTTATTTAAGTCTGTGAACTATCTGTCAGTAAAACTTATGCCTAACAAAATCAACAGGAAGACTTCCTATCACAGTTTGAGGCAGCATAAAAGACATTTGTTATTGATCTTAGAGTTTTATATAGGAATAAAACAGCCGCTGAGTAAACCAGCTCAGAGTCTAGAGCTCAACTTTTTACTAAGATTGTTACCAGTAACTCAAAACCTCTCTCATAACCCTGCCATTTCCCACCACCTCTATGAACCCAACTATCCACTTTTCCTGTGTTTGAACTAAACTATCTAGGTAATTCTGAAAAAAGTTGCTTAACATTGCATTTCATTACCATTACATTTTCATGAGCATCAATAGCAAATACAACTTCAACAAGTATATTACCAGCAAGTGTATGGTGACACCATTACATTCGCTAGTCAGCTTAGGTTTTTTTCTTATTACAATGACTTGTTCTAATTCTCTCTTCCCAAACCTCTAGTTTTCCCAACTTGTCACTCATCCTCAGCAAAGGTCCTTCCCTACTCCATGGGGCAAATCAAAGTCATCAGATAAGACCTCTGTCAATTTCTTGCTATCACACTTAAATTGAACTACTTCCAAACCCTTTTTTTTTCCTAGCACCTTCTATTAAAATGAGTCTACTTTCTTCTTCCTCCTCTCCACTCTTCTTGAGATGCTGTCTCCTCCCAAATTTTCTGGATATTTCCATTACCAACTTTCCCTAATTTTAGCTTACCCCTCTTCATTCCATTTGGTTGGTTTTAAAAATACTCAAGTCAATTATATCAAAATTAAACAAAGTAAAACCTGCCTTAATTTCCTTTTTCTCCCACTTTATCTCTCTCCTCTTCAAAGCCATATGTCTGAAATTATCTATGCTTGGTATCTCCAAAATTTTCACCAACACCGTATATTTCAACTCACTTACAATGATATCTGCTTCAAGTATCAACTCCTAGGAAGGCTTTTCCCCATATTCCTGATGAATTGATCAGACCCCTCCTAATTTGTGTTCATATTGCACCATGTAACTTTCCTTCATTGATCATATCCCAGTTTCATACTATACATGTATTTGTTTGATTTTTCTATTGAGGACTGTTTCCTCACACTAAACCTGTGCTTCATGTGGGTAAGAACTAAGGTTGTATTTGGTCACCATTGTGCCATCAATGCCTGGAACAGTGCCTAACATATAGAAAGGTGTTAAATATTGTTGTTGAAAATTTATGTCTAGTCTTAGGATCAACATTAACTTCAGTTCATGCCACTATTGAGAGTCATCATTTAGTTTATCCTTTGTCTATTGACAGTTTGAATAGCCATTATGTATGGAGAAGAGTTGGCTTACAGGTATACAATATCAGTTTCTAGGGAAACCTCCATGGGAAAGGTCACAACTTTGTCTTCATCCCATTCAAATATTTCAATTTCATCATGCTCTTGCTTTAATTCAGAAGAATTCATTCATTCATTTGACTATCATTTATATATAGCACTTCTTAACTGAAATACACTTTGCAACCACTGAATTAAATTTGTGCTTTCCAGAGAGAGTATCTCTGACTCTTTGTTTTTATAAGG